GAGTTCTAGATTTAGCACAATTCCTTTGTCTTAGAGAATTCTGAAAATTTGTAAATGCAGACCCTAGATAAACAGACTTTATCTGTTAATCAGTATTGCCACAAGTTTGGCAATTTGCCAAAAATCCTGTCAGCGACCTCACATATCATTTAGCTGGTGCCAGACAAGGAGGCAGCCTTGGACTTAGAATAGTTAACTGGGGCTATGTCCACATTTTACCACTTATGTGCAAAATAGCAACATTTCTGTTTGTGAGGAATTTTCCACTTTCAAATTGATTATGCCCTGAGGAAAGATTATTGGCTTCATTTGTGATGCAATAAACTTCTGAGAGGTCAACCATGGCTTTTAGGCTTTTAAAAATTAATTTGCAAACAATATGGGAAGATCACTGGGCTTGCTAATTACCTGAGATTCACATTGTGTCTAATGGGACACTGAGTTTCCCTTTCATAGAGTGAAAGTGGAAATACTGCTGCAAGGGGCACCAATTAAATTTGAGGTATGTGGTAAAGGGACAGTTCGAGGTATCTGTGAGCCAATTGTAGAGTCATTCTCCTCTATCCTTTTGATAAACATCTATTTCATGCTATAAGGTCACTCCTTGCCATCTTCTCCTGATAACTACTTGGTTAGATTTCTTAAATACATCCATGGTATGTCCTAGGGCCAGTCTAGTTCAAGTTACTTATCTAATGCCTTGAAATCATCATCTATTCAATAAGAACAGACACTTATACGTCCCTGAGACATGGGATTGTTGATCACTTTCTATGTACCATATTTCTAAAGGAGAGAATATATTTTAGTAGGATTTTAGCAAATGATTTGTGTTTAAACCAGTTAACCAGGTAAGAGTTAGTAAGTAGAACAGAAAATGTATCTGTTTTGCTCATCATTGTATCTTCAGCAGAACACAGTGCCTGATCCAAAGTGAGCATTCAGTAAATATTTGCAGAATTAATTAATATACAGAAAAGGCCACTTGACTGGAGTTTTATTGTATGCTTCTTTTCAATGCATATCCCATGTGGAAAATTATATATTGCTTCAGAATCAAATGCAATTATCAGCAATTCTTCATTGCAAAGAGCATCATTGACTTTTAGAGTGAGCAAGGCTTTTCAAGATCGTCTCAGCCCAATGATCCTTATTTAAAGTAAGAAAGGAAAAGAATCATGATGTTAAGTAATTCATTTACTTTTTAAAAATAAACACTTGAAGATATTTTATCAATCTCTGAAAAAGTAAAAACACTCATCTTTTCTAGAAAAATCATAATTTGGGAGCTATAAGTGAATTAACAAAAGAATGAATTAGAAGAGTACAAGCCATCTCACTGCCCATTGTGACAACTGTATATTTCAGAGGATGAGTTGGGTGTTCAGGAGAGGAGGATTTCACTGATGGTAGGAACACAGAAATCTATTTGTATTTGTTTTTCATGGTGGAATAAGCATGTGAGCAATCATTAACTTTGAGTGCTATGTTGCTCAAATAATTTTTGATGCTAGAAAAATAAAGATCAAGATTTTGTTGCTTTTTTTGCAACTGGGTTAAACATGTGAATCAAACAAAGCCTACTACTTCAATGTTTAATTGATATGGTATTAGAGTCCCTAGGGACTTTTTACAAATAATCATGTTCAAAATTTAAAATGAACAGATATGTATGAAAATAAAATAATATGTGAAAAGGCTCCCACCACTTATTTTGACATGAAAACAATTCATTTGCTGCCAGTTATTTTAAACTATTGTGAGCTAATCTAAAAAACAAGCAGATGTATTGTTAAAGGGAAAAATGAAGTGAGATAAATAATACCATTGTCCACAATGGTTACATTAATTTAAGTAAAAATTGAGACTCTTTCTCTCAATAATTGATTGCAAATTCAACAAATACTAAAAAATATTTTCAGTTGTAAGTTTCTTTTCAAAGTTGTTTTCTGCAGATGAGTGGACCTAATAGCCAATTGTATTTAGAGGACAAAAAATGCAATTAGTTTTATTGGTGTCTGATACAAATAAAATGACAGTAATCTAACTTTGTAGTTTTGTTATATTTCCATTGCTTTAAATAGTTCAGTGAGTGACAGTTACATAAATTCTTCCTTTTCTTTTTTCTTATGGTGTAATTTAAGGTAGAAAAATCAATATACCTTAAACTGCAATTTCAGATACTTGTTTTGAAGTGTTTGAATGAGTATATGGCTAACTCTTATAAATATATTGCTATTTAAAAGAACTAATTAGTTCATGGCATAAAAATAATTTAGAAAACTTGCACAGACGATGAAGTGTTTCTCTAACTACAGTTGTCCACTAACATATTTTGAGAGAAATTTGTGTGAACTATTCACATTATGTTTTTAAAAATTGATACTAATTAAAATTTCAAAAAAGTAATTATTGACAGCATGCTACCATAATATGAAGCATGCCCTTCCTTCTAGAAATGTACTAACACATCCCCTTATCTTCACTGTATTAATTTTACCATCTTCAGAGAGAGTAACTTCTTTTCAAATATTTCTCTGATCAAGATTATTTAGCATTTACTTTTTAAAAAACTGCATTGGTTGATTCTCTGAAATTGTTCTGTATTGTTGTCCCAATTTATTGAAGAAGATGTTGAATAACAGAGGTATTGAAGGATAAGTACAAATTCCTGACAAAGTCTGGATAAATGCTTGTGTTTGGATGAGCCAAGAGTAAAATTAAGGAACATTAAAAGTAATTTTGCTTAGATCTACACTGAATTAAAATATAGATAGTAAAAAAAATCACTTTCAGAATCAGAAGTAAGCTTTTTGTGGTGAAAAAATTTATAGGACAATTAAGAATACATTATATCTCATAGTACAGCAGACTTTGTTATAATTTATGAGATTTATACCTGAGAGGAATTTTAAAGGAACAAAGGTCTATTACTAGTCTCATTATTACTGTGCAGTCATAATAGAATGGAAACCTTTTAGAATTCAGCAAGAAGAATAGTAATAGAAATAGAAAAAGTAGATACTCAAGCTTTCTCAGTTCTGGGGATCTAATGTATATATAGCATGGTGACTATAGTTAACAATACTGTATTATATACTTGAAAGTTGCTAAGAAAATAGATCTTAAATGTTCTCATCCCCAAAAAGAAATGGTAATTATGTGAAGTGACGGAGGTGTTAACCAACCCTACTATGGTAATCATTTCACAATATATTAGTGTATCAAATTATCATCTTGTACACCTTAAACTTGCACAATGGTATATGTAATTCATATCTCAATAAAGCTGGAAAAAAGAAAAAAATAATTTCTTTGAAACGAAAAAAAAAATTAAGATATCCAGTCCCCTCAGCAAGAGCTTGTTTAAGGTTTATTCAAAAGTCTGAAAAAGCACCTGGGTGTGCCGATTTTCTTCTTAGAAACCAGCTAAGCTTCTGAAATGGGTCAATGTGCTTTAGGCACTCAATTGCTTTCTCCAGATATAGTCTTTTAAGCACAGGTGCTAAGTGGAAAGTCTTTCTGAGCTTTACGCACCCTCTGACAGGAACTTGGCAACCAGTCAGTTCCCAGAATTGACTGCTCTCTGGGATTCATGAGGAGTTATTTACAAAGCTTCAGTTGTTCAGGTCAAACAACTCAAACTCTCAACACAGCGGGCAGGAGTGGGAGAAAGAAAGAATGGAAGTTTGAGCTGAAATTACTGTCTTGCTTAAGAAAGTAAGAAAAATTTTTTTCTTGGATTCCATAAATACACATTAAAAAGTTCATATTCTTTGAATAATTACAACCATAATAATTCTGAACTCCCTCAGGAATAGCCTGAGTGAGGTGAAGGTTTATAATTAATATTTTCCAATATAATATAAACATATTTCTTCAATCGTGTATTTTTTCTTCTATAAAAAGATAACAGGAGGTGACTACTTTGTCATTTCCTCTTACAGTATGCTCACTAGACCTTTAAAAGAAATACCATATCCTATTTTACCTTTACCTTTTACAAATTCTAACATAGTCGAAGAAGGAAACTTAAGGCATCTGGTTTACTACCCTTCTATATTAAGAAGAAATCTCTGAAACATGTTGGTTTTGATGATTATAGTTGAGTATTTTAGTTATTCTTATAAATAATCCTGCAAATTGGTAAATTTACTACTACAAATCAAATCATATATTTATGTAGATAAACTAAACGTAGCAAACTGACCAACAAAACATCATGCTGCGATATTGTTTAGACAACAGAACATATTGTAGATAAATATGGGCAAACATTTCTAAAACCACTAGATGGCATTCATTCACTGTAATTTTGGCCAAATACAGACTTTCAAAGCTTTATCATGATATGCAGTTTAGGGAGAAAGCAAATGTTATCCATTATTTGAGGATATTTTCCTATCATTTAACACAATGACAAAGCTGTATTTTATCTTTTCCTTCAAATCAAACCAACAAATATTTATTAAAAGCTTAGTTCAAGGATTCTTCCTTTGTGCAGAGAGTTGAAAATCACATTTCCTGTGGTAGTAATATATTTACTTACAAAATCTAGAAGAAAATAGGCTACACACAGTATGCAACTTAATTTTCTTTTCTTTTATGGCTGTACTAATTCATGTTGCTATTTCTCTAAAGGTTAAAAAAAGCACACGGTCACAAATATTAAAATTTTCAAATATTTTAGATGGCAAGAATCTTCAAAATTAATGTCTATAAAAATAGGAGGCCAAGAAATCTTGATGATTCATAAAAAGTCCTTTCTATTTTATGTCTTAAAAACGTGTGAGAAATAGTGTTACTAATTGTAGAGAGAACCAAAATGGCCTTTGGTGATAGAGGATTATGATTTTGTTTTGGAGATAAATCATTTAATGAAAATTCCCAACTCCACACTTCAAACTAGGTGGTTGGAAGAAGATATTGATGATGACAAAAAATCAAAGGTCATTTTTTTTTAGAAGATCTGGGTAAATAATATAAAATCCAGGACTTACCTGTTCTAATATGTTTTGAAGCCTCTCTATTTCACAGTCTATTACAAATTTCTTCTCTTGTCTTCTATCAAGTTCTTCTAGAAGTTGTCTATAGCTGACATCATTAAAATTTTCCACACATATAGCACTGACATGCCAACCATTTTGTCCTGCTTTTTCCATAATAGCTTGAAGTATTGAATATCCTAGTGGAGAAAAAAAATCCAGATGGGTTACTAAAAACATCCTTTTCTCCCCTTTAATAACTTATAGAGGCACTGATTCTGCATCAACATTTTTAAGTTCCAAAACATACAATGGATGCTTAGACATTTAAAAATCTGAGTAGTTATTTCCAAATCATTTGTTTTTGTTTTCTTTACCGAGAGCAACAACATCCTGTGAAATATTGCTTGAATGAAACAGCAACATCATCCCTTGAGTAAGTTCTCAAAATTTTTCTCCTAAAGATCTAGTACAACTAGACACATTCTTGATGAGATAACCCCAAAACCAAATCCAGCACCACCTGTAGTGAATACCAGTTTTATAAACTCTTTGTTAATGTTATGCAGTAGACAGAATTAATTTTGAACAACTGCTTTGACTCTTCCATTGAGCAAGGTAGTGACAACATTTTTTGGTTCAACTATGGAAGATAAGATGTAAAAAACCCAGTGCAACAGTATTTATTGAGGACCCATTATTACAAATGGAGATAGCATTATTTAATTCTTCTTCCTTTTTTGGCAAGGGAATGACGTGGATGGGGATGAATTGAATGACCAAATAGGTGAGGCACTGGGCACTCAATCTCATAATCTAGCAGAGGAGACAAATAGTGAAATACACAAATGCAAATTAGTCTTAAAAAGCATATCATAACTGTATTGAAGGTAAGGTGTTGGCCCAAGGGAAGCTTTGGCTAAATCTATCTGGATGGAATAAGGAAATTACCACAAAAGAGAAACACCTCGAATTGTTATTGAAGATTGAGAAAGCACATCCAAGATTGCAGAAGAAGGAGGGGCGTTTATTAGCTGGAGACAGATTTCCAGGGAGGATTGAATAGTCTCTACCCTGTACTTGGTCCAGATCTCTCTGCATGTGGAAGAGAAGTCATGGATCTTGCTTGGTATCTGGGTTAAGGACAAAGGGGCAAACTTGTGAATCCAGCACTTAGAGTATTTTTTCATGCTAACATTGTATTGACCTTTTGCTTTTTCTAGCTTTCAGTTTTAAAATGGAATGTGAAAGAGAGTAGATTCTTTGAATCTATGAATAGCCCTTAAATAAGAATTGATTAGGATCAGGGTATGTTAACCAGTGGCATAGCATAAAAAAATATGCTAGTCCTCGTTAAGGAGGTCTGACACTTTCTCAAGCTCATAATATGGCAGCTGCCTATAGCTTCTCCCGTCCCTCATTCGTGGGGTGAAGAGCTGGGTGGATTAAAAGCAAAGACTTAAAACAAATATATTCAGTTTTAATTGGTGCGTGAATCTCTCAGAGTCAAAGATTTTGATTTTCAGGTATGTTTTCTACAAGTCAGAGTTTCAAACATTACGGATGTTCAGTTAATATCAACAGATGGAACTGATGATGAGATCATATTTGAAATATAAATTACCTGATATCCTGCCAAATGAAATAGTGTGGCAGTCAGGATTTATTTCTATCTGAACGAAAAAAAATTCCCAGAGGAAGAAAGAAGGCATGTTAATTACTATATAATTATTCTGGTATATCTATTGCTCCATTTAGTCTTTTCTTTTGTAATGTAAAGATAATTGTAATTCTTTTCAAATCTTACCTAGGTTATCCCCACCCCCCCACTGCAAATCCAGTGCTCTTTTCCTTGTTTTCTATAATATTTGATGCTTGTGTAACATGATGATCTGAGTCCTATCTTAATGTACATGTTTATGCCTCATTTATTGTGTTACTGGGACTTGCTCTCTAATAGTCAGTGAAGCAATGTTTATTTTTGACACCTATGAACATGTTCTTTTTAAAAATACCAGTAGACATCTTACTATTCTTTTTTCTCCTTTTACTCACTATTATACCCAAATAATTTAAAGATTTCCTGTTTGTTTGATTTTTTTTTTGTATGTTGTAAAAATGGTAAATATTGGCCACACACATTGAAGTAGTAGTCATCCTGGTCCCTGAGATCAGTTCACAGCTTGGCACAGTTGTTTAGCTATTGCTTGTTTTTTTGTTTTTGGTTTTTTTGGTTTTTTTGATCATGTAGTCAGTATTAGGCATCCAGGTTGTTATTTTGTCACCTGCAGGACTCTAACAACAACAAAACAAAATTATAAATTCAATGTTTTGTTACCTGATTTTTAAGATTTACAAATGCCACTAGAACTGAAATAAGACAAAACCCTATGACACAATCTTTGTTAAATGGCAAAGAAAGTTGGCTACCTAAAAAGAACCATTAATCATAATCAGAGATTATTGGCATCTTTTCAATGCAGTGCAAAGGATACACAGTTATTGTTTCAGAGCTTGGTTGAAAAGTTGAATTCTTTAATAAGCTGTGTTTGATTTTAATATGCTTTCTTATTCATTGCCACTCAGATGTGTGTGTCTTATTCATTTGCTAAGATAGTTGGGAATACATTGTAAATCAGAGAAAATACTGCTGCTGAATCTATGATTACATAACTAAGCTGTTATATAAACTAGAAAATCACAAGTCAAGTCATACTATTAATTCTATATCTGGCTATGATTTGTATCTTCTAGGTATTAGAAAATATGTAATGCAATATTATTGGCCAGAAAATGAATAGTTTTAGGTGAATATCATAAAACTTGGTAAATTCACTACGGTAAAGTATCTTTTAAGTCTTACTTTTACTTTTAAAAAAGCTGTCTAACATTTTAATTCAATATAATTTGTTAAAAAACTACTACATCCAAGATTCTTTAAGGTATGCCAAGACATGATTCTTGTCTCTACAAGGAATTAACTATCTAGTAAAACTCATACTTAGGTAACTAACCATTATGCAAATTATACAGTGTATATAAGTAACTTCAAAAGAACCAATAATTAATAAAAATAATAAATCATTTTATTAGAATAGTAGTGAGTGCATACTGTGGACAAGATCACATTGTTGGATTACAATAAGTAATTAAAAGTTTCTTTGTAGTTATTAAAGAACACTAACAATTATATGTACAAATATTTGTAAAAATGTTGTGTCATGTAATGGTATAAATTATGCTAAATAGAATCATAATGATGTAAACAGACTTGAGCTACTGAATCCTTACATATCAGCGCTTTTCTATAATCCATAATGACCTATTTTGGATGAGTTGTACCATCTAGAGATGTGGCTACTATCAATACAAGCTGGGCTTATTTATTTGATGTTCTCTTTTGCAAGAGTTATTTGATTCTACTATCTGTACACAGAGGGACAGGAGGAGAATCAGGAGAAATTTATGTCAGGGTGGATGTAATTTCAACAAAAAATGTATTATCCATGTGCTATAATAAAATTTTATTTATATGAAGGGCAGAAAAGTGGTCATAGTGCTTTTGAATTAGAAGGTCATCAGTGTAATCAACAGGGGCAGCATCAATAGGATGCTGGGTATAGAAGTCATGTTTCAGAGGAGTGAGAAATTGAGAAGGGAGAATGTCCAATTTATCAAGGAATATCATCAAAGGAATGAAGTAATGAGATGAAGGAAGGGTATGCCGTTATGATGAATACGGGATAGAGAAACATCTAGGTCACAGGGACTGGTTTGGTAATGAGAGGACTGGGGGGATCCCACGAGGAGTTGTAGAGCTTTAAAAGGGTGAGGTGACAAAGGGAGTAGCAGCAATTTATACTTACTCAAAATAAAGCCTCTCTCATTAATCTTATAAATTGCTATGCAGGTACCCACTACTACACCACTGATTTCTCTGGTCTGGCACAATTACCAGCACCCCAAACTAGTGTATTTGAAGAGAAGTGTATGTCTGGAAGAGTACTTCATGTTGTGTATAATTCAGTCACAGAGAGGAATGGGATTCTATAATTCCCACTGCATTTAATGCCACCATGCTGGAACCACAGAGCAGATTTAGTTTGGACTCTTTCCAAAGCAGCCTAGGTAGTGAAATAATGTGCTCACAGACTGCAGCATGGACTCTAAGGTCTCAGCACACAGAAGTAACTGCCATTGTAGCTTGGTTAAAATGAGCTGCAGCTGTGACTGTAGCACTTATTTATGTCGTAGTTCAAGGAGGGCATAGGGAAAGTAAGCAACGATCTTCCTGTTTATAGTTTGGCCACACATGTAAGCCTAAGATAAGATGGAATGTCTTTAGTTTTCCCTTTTCTATAAACAGTCAAGAGTAAAAATAGAAAATCCATCTTCAAAGATGGTCCTTCTGGGTCCTAACAGTCTCCTAAGGCCTCTCGTATTTTCTGGCAGTAACATTTAGTGTCTCCTGATTCCTGCGTTGTAGTGTGCATATGTAACTCAGATGACACCTTACAGAGCAATCTGATACTTAAATCTTCCAAGCTTTTTGTCAGTTGCAACTGAACCTAACCCTTATTACTACAGGCATATTGCAAGTAGTTTCAACACCTTGCCACAGGTTCAAGGCACTAAACACCTTCTCCCAGGCATGCTCTAACACTATTTTTCCTTAGCTCTTTTGGGCTTTTGTAGGACTGGGCCACTGGAGAATTTTATTTCAGTTATAAAGAATTGATAGGACCATTAATTCATATATTCACTTGTTCACATAGCAACTAGATGGATCTTTGTAGACAGGAATGCTATGGTAATTCCTTGCATGAAGCCTTCAATGTTTTCCTATTCTTTTATTATATATACCAAAATCTGGTATGCTTGTCCCCTGCCTCTTTTTTCAGAATCATTTGGTACCACTATCCTCCTTGCTTTCCAACATCCAACAAAACTGGCCTTGTCAGATGTTCAAGAAGTTCCCATGTAACTTCTACTTCCTTTAAAAGATTGTTTCCCTCCATTTTTGCCTTCTTTTGGATGTATCTCAGATATCACTTACCCTCTGACTAGATCACTTCCCCAATCGTATAAGCTCTTGTAGCTTTCTATATATTTCTCTCAGAAATTTTGACCAGTTTCTAATTGTGTATAAGTTTCTGATTGGTGTCTTTTCTCACCACTACACTGTAGGTTCCATAAAGGT